CTCCTTTTCATACTGGAGATGAAAGAGATGTTTCGGTAGTCTGTAAATTGTCCCTCAGTTACAGCCATAAAGGCTAAACTTTTCTCAGCTTTGAAATAGTTATGAATGTAAGCAGAAGACACAAAATCTCTGAAATATAGCTAGTTGATCTGGAACATTAACGTAATTCAATCCCATATCATGATACATATCCAGAGAAGAGTAGCTTTTTTTTTTTTTTTTTAGTTGGCTTTGTGTGTTTGGTTTTGTGCCTACATTGACCGTAGTGTGAGTGAATAAGAGAAATGAGGGACTAAGGATCAATAACAGATTTTGGTTGTGCCTTGTGGCTAGGTCTTATTTGTCAGATGTCTTTCATTAACAGAATTGAAGGTCTGAAAAGAAAATAATATATAGCATCAAGGTAAATTTGCAAAGAAGGCAGTTAAACGAGTAGTGGAAGAGCTCAAAACTAGTTAAGAGCTTGCTACTTCATACAGGGATTTCTGAGAGTAACAACTATGTTTGTCAATTCTAGGTCTATGTTACAAGTGAGAAGAAAAGGAATTTTCTGTCTTTGCTTTCCTTTTCAGCTGAGTATGCTTTCTTTGAGGAACCTGGACTATCATTAATATCATCCAGCAGCTAAAAAATGATGAGGGAGGGATTCCTTGTGAAACTTCTTAATATCTTAAATAAAATATAAAATATTACGGAACTCAAAATCTTAATGCTTTAGATGTCTGTTTTGTAGCTACTTTTGTTCAATACTTCTAGTAGAAGAATCTTCAGAAATCTAATGGAGATTGTTTGATGTCCTCTAGCAGGCTGAAGTCTTTGCCCTCAAAACTGTGTACAGTTACAGTTAACCTGTGGTACAGTTAGTATACAGTTAGGTATACATTTGCTATAGTAAACTAACTATGCAGTTACCTGTATTGCCTCTTAATACTATTTAATCTTTGAGTTGATTTATTCCATCAAAATCTGTGACAGGGTTTGAGACTGATCACTACAAAACAATTGAACTCCTCCTTGTAATTAACTGGCTTCTAGTCCTCACCTCTTCTGATGCCAAATCTTCACTTTTAAGAGTGAATTACAATTTTAATTCTTACTTGTTGCCCTAAATACACAGTACTGACTGTGAGTAGTACTGTGAATAAAAGCAGACATTGATGGATGTAATTAATTTTGCCTTTTTTAAAAAAAAAACGTTTTATTGTAGACAGATGCATCCTGACCTGAAAAATAATCTGAATGAGTTTAAAAAACATCTAATTGAAACTAGTAACATCATGGAACCACTGAAGGTTTGGGAACTACAGGGTATGTATTGAATTTTTCTGAATTAACACAGTACTGTGTTGAATTTTCCTTTGTTATGTTTATGTGTCAACATTGTGATAATAGCTGATTTTTTTAAGAGGAACATATGATTTTGTAAAAAGGCAATATTATATCAAGTATTTAAAAAGAATGTGTTGGTATCTTGTCCTTGTATTACATGCTGGAAATTAGAGGAACATTGAAGTCATTTTTTAAGATGGAGAATCATAACTAGCTTTACTAATTTTAAAGAGAGAAGTTGTATTACCCATTTTAGATTTTTTTTTTTTTTTCCTGAGAAGCCGGGCAAAAAAAATATCATTTTGACATGACTACTGTGTTGGGACAAAATACACATTAAGACAGTTTGTTTTCTCTAATTTGTAAATTTTAACTTTTATCAGTGTACTGGAGTTCATGTTGATACTTTTTTTTTTTTTAAATTAATATAACATCAAATGGGAGAACATGGTTTTAAAAACTTTCCTATGGAAAAGGAGAACAAATATGTAGAAGTTGGTTTCTCAACAGCTCTGTGCTGATGACCTGCAGGACATTCTGTAGCTTGAATGGAATTATAAATCACGCTCTATGGGGTTTGCATGGCAAGGTTTTGGTAGCAGGGGGGCTACAGGGGGGCTTCTGTG